TGTTACAATGCAGGTTGAAATGTGTTTTAACAGGAAATTACATCGCGATTTCCTACAGCCAAAGAGAGTGCAAGATACAGGGCAAGGGAAAGTTCAGACCTGCAACAGAACATCAGCAAGCATGGCTTCTGCCAGCAACCATTCTCTCCTTCATAATCTTTTTTTTTCTCTCTCTCGCTGTAAATGGTACCCCAGACAGTCGTGTAATGTGAGAGATAGCTTAGCTCACAAAATATAGCTTACAAAAGAAGCTTGCTGCTTGTGACTTCATTTGGTAATTTCAGGCTCAGCTAAAGAAGAGAGGAGAGTCAGACAATCAGACAGACGGCCCCTCGCCCTCTCAGCTCTCACGCTCACCGAAATCTCCATTCTTGCCTCGAGCTGCCCGTGTGCTGCCTCCTGCTGGCGGCAAAGAGAACGGGTAAGTGGTTTTTAGGTTTTTGGACATCAGAAAGTTTCAGAATCATCTCTTGTCTGGCAGTCTTGACCAGTTTTTCTGTCTCTGTCCCCTCTCAGAGAAGAGTCCTCACCTCAGTGGCTGAAAGAACTAAAGACTAAAAAACGTTTGAGTCAGTATGAAGGCGACAGTACGGCCTGAACAAGCAGGTAAATGGTCTTATGTGTCTGTTTGAGTAATTGCATTATAATTAGACTTATGCTAAAACTTCTGTAGTAAATGGCAATAGTAATGGTTGATTTTTTTTTTTTTTTTTTGATACCACATTAAAAACTTTTATAAAAATTAAAATAAATAAAAATTGTCATTCAAACCATAGAAACTAAAACCAAAAAAAATTTACATTTTTAATGTTAAATATTCATGTAAATATGAACAAATTAAATTTAAAAAATGCCTTGGTGCCTTTAAATATTTCTCAGTAAATTAAAACTTGCTTATTTATTTATTTATTATTTAAGCAATAGATAAAATAAAGACCAATTAGCAGAAAAATGTTTGCTGTAAGTGCTTTGTTTTAGACCAACATCTAGTGTTCAAATAAGAAAATACCAAAATAAATCTAAATAACTTAAATTAGTGACAGTTTTCACTGCATGATTATTACATACAATACATTCATACTGACTCAGTTCTGTCTTTTTTTTAAATTTATTAATTTATTTATTACGTTCATTTAAAGGGATAGTTCAGCCAAAAATAAGAATTCTGTCATCAAAATACGCACCCTCGTGTATGACTATTTTCGGTCTCACTTTATCTTAAGTGGCTTTAAGTACTATGTACTTACATTGAACAATAAGTACATGGTATTATTGTGTTCCTGTTGTATTGTAAAACACTTTTGCTGCTATTGAGGTGTGATACAGGTAAGGTTAGGGACAGGTGTGGTGGTATGGGTCGGTTTAAGGGTAGGTTAAGGTGTGAGGGGAGGGTCAACTGTGTAATTACAAATGTAGTTGCATAAATTAATTATTGCTGTAATTACATGCTGGAATTTTATAAATGTAAGTACAATGTAAAAACATGTATGTACACAATAAGTCCATTGTATCAAATTATTAATTTCTATGTAAGTACATAGTACTTAAAGCCACTTAATATAAAGTGGGACCCCATTTTCTTCTGTAGAAATAAAAAGATATTTTGACGTGAGTGTGAGTGCCTGTACCAACATTTTTCAAAATATGTTCATGATTCATTTTAGGGTGAACTGTCTCTTTAAGAAAGCAGGGCCCAGAACTTCACAGATAACTATAAAAAATATGGTCTTTCTAAAGAATCACATTAAATAAACCACCAAAAAACAAGCAAACACATCAAGGTAATAAGCAAAAATCCTTGTAAGATGATCAGTTTATGATCTTTGACCCCATAAAAGTACATAGTATAAGGCATTTGCATGACACATCGGTGGGTTACTAAAGCATTATTGTTGTGTTTCTATTAAAAAGCAGTCAGATCTTAATGCAGTTGTGGTACTACTTACACTGGAGGAAAAGTGATACTTTTAAAAAAAAAAAAAACATTTTGATTTGCCCTTTTGACATCCCTCATTATAAAGTATTTTACTATATGTATGCATCCCCCCCCCCCATTTCAGGATGCCTTATAACTGCAGTATCTGTAGCTGTAAACTCGTGACAGAAGCCTTAACCTTTGACCTGGAGTTGACGGGAACTCTGCTGCTGCTGCTGACTACGACATCATTCTGTTTCGTTGTTTATTCCTCGCATTCCTCTCCAGCCTGAGTCGTGTACATGTGCATGGTGCCTTTCTAAAAGATTTCTGGCTGACATAAAGGTCGAAGCAGAGATCTGTGTATGAAGCGTGTGTCCATAAATGTGTTGTCGAGTTTCTCTGCAGCCCTTCGTCATGTGAGAGAGAATTATTTTTGCATAGAGCCACTTTAACCTCTAGTGACGAGAGATCATCGTTTATAGTGGACGTGTGGTACCACACGCACCTACAAGTAACCTGAAGTGCTTCATATAACTGGAGTATGATGCTGGTTTATTTTTACCCTTTATGTTCATATTAGCACAGTTTTCATGCTTTTTTTTTTCATTCACTCGATGATTATAGGTATCAGTTGCACATGCATTTCTATAGACGTCATGATTTTATTTCGAAACTTTATTAGTCAACAAATCATTGCTGAGCTGTATAGAAAGTGTATTTAGTAATGACACATGTCCATGTAATCACAAAGTTATATTTGTATTAATGCCAGTTTGAAAGAGGAAAATGGTAAATGATCAAAAAGGAGTCAAAATTCTTCATTTAAGAAGAACTGCGGCCCTCTGAACTGTATGCGTGTTGATGTGTGTGTGGGAACCTGATTGGATGGGCCACCAAATGAAATTAGTTCATTTGTTTGCACACGTTTTCACGCCCAATAGCCCATATTTTGTGCTTGGATTTGGATAATGTGTTTAGTTTCACCATTCCATCATATTTTCAGTTGAATCCATCATTTCATGATTGGAAAAAAAAATTGCGCATGTACAATCAATCGTTCCCTTTCTTTCACTTTATTTTTGCTATTTCTATCCCAATACTTTACTTGCTTTAATGATGGGCCAAAAATGATGGTAGGAAATTGCACAATCAGCATAAAAATTTAGTTTTCTTCCCTTACAATGTAATAATGAATAAATACAAAGGGAAAATGTTTCATTTGTGTCCCTCACTCACATCTTAATTTTTTTTTTTTTTTAGTTTACTAGTTCGCTTAAGGGAAGTTTGAAATGTCAAAGTACTGTAAACATTGTTCAGATAACATTGCACACTAGTTGTTACCGTATTTTTAAAAGAAAACAAAACAAATGCTGGGTCATTTTGCCACTTAACAAGCACTTTCCACCTGTTAATGAACTGCGTTTCTGACCAATAGTCACTTTTGTATCGCATGAGTCTTCGTTGATGTCTATGTTGTGATGTTGGTATGCTGGTGGTATGTGAGTAATGAGTAATGTGTCCTACTTTTTTTTTTTTTTTTTTCTAATATCAGCTTCTTTTTCTGTCTGCCTACAGTTGTTGTAGTCTGTTTAAGGGTAATTTGTCCTTTTTATTTTACATTTGACTGTAAAGATGTTCATTGCACTGTTGTAATGCCAGTGTCCAATACTGTAAATTCTTAATAAAATTTACTATAAATTGATTTATCCCCCCCTTCTTTTTCTTAAAATTGTTCTTTTCAGAACTTGCAAAAGTAACATGCACTCTGCCGCTGGGAAGAGCTCATCTTTTAACATCTATTTTTGGCAGAAAAAGCTCATGTGTTCATGTGATTCTTAAAGTTCAATTTCCATGTTTCCATGCACTTAGTTTTCAGTCGCACTTTAGATTGGGGTGTAATTTTTTAACAATTATTTTCATGATTTATCACAACTTTTTTTTTTCTTTTCATCATTTGGTTCAGATTTCATATGTTTAGTTTCTGTTTATTAAACCAATTTCCTTCATTGAATTAACTCTTTTTTTATGAACTAGGCATGGCAACAAACTTACTTTTTTTACACCAACAAAATATTTTTTACAATGTAAATGCTTATTAATAGTTAGTAAGGTAGCTGTTAAGTTTATGTATTAGGATTAAGGAATAGAATATGTAAGATGTAAAATATGGTCATGCAGAATAAGACATTAATATTTGTTTTGCAAGTACTAAACAGCAAATTCAGAAAAGACTTGCTTTACAGCTATTGAAATATTCCTGTAATCATATTTTCATTTAATTTACTTTTTTTTTTTTTTTTTTACTAAGGCCATTGTGGTTCAAATCCTATCTAAAAAAAAATAGAAAACACAAATGATGTTGCATTTATTGTGTAAGAGTTATAAATGCAACATCAGAATATTGAGATTATAATATTGGAGTTCCACAAGGTTCTATTTTGGGTCCATTGTTGTTTAGTATGTACATGATTTACCAAATGTTTGTCCTCCAGATGTTATTTGTCAAATGTATGCTGATGATGTTGTTCTGTTGACTGATACCATGGATTTGATTTCACAATGGCTTCTTAAAACTGTAGTCCGTAGCTTTTGGTTTAAAAATTTTCCAAAATAAAATTTTGAGCAAATAAATAACCAGCCAAAACTATCTGCTTGCCTTAGCTCGATTCAAAGCGGTAAGCTTGTATTAATGTTTTTAACTCCAGTGGTACTGGTGGATTTCCACGGGAGATTCGAGCATGTATTTGCGTCAGTAGGCTACGTCACATCTGTACACATAAAGAAAGAGTCTCGGCTAGTAGACTATATTATGTGTGAGGATGCCGGAGGTGGAGATTTATAGCCTTTTCTCACAGCACTTGATATAATTAAAGTTATCAATTTGATGGCGGTTCCAGAAAGATTCAAACAGTCACCAGTGACACCAGATTTACCCGCTGTAAAAGGAAAAAAATATCGGAAGGGCATTAAATGTAGTCACGCAATGCTGATGTTGGACATTAACAATTTGAGAACAAAGTATAATTTGCTCAGGTTTACACAATATGATAAGCAATTGTTCGATTTAATCAGCACTATTTACTACAATCATTTTTTCCTCTTGGTCAGTATCAGAACAAAAGGAATAATATAGAGTCTATTTAGTTTAGAAATTTAGAAATAATAATAGATTCTCATCTTTCTTTTAAAAAACAGGTGAAGAAAGTGATATTTAACTTAGCAAATTTTTGATTTATTAGAAATAGCTTGACTACAGAAGCAGCAGTCTTATTTATGAACTTATGATTGTTCCACATATTCAACTACAGCTTTTGACAATGCATATAGGCTACATCCAACGCACATGGCACCCTTTAGTGTCAATATAACACATTTCGGTTATGGGTAGGTTTAGGGTTAGACCACTAGGAGGCGCCTTTTGGCCCATATATATCTGCGTCTCATATTGACGCTAAAGGGTGCCATGTGCGTTGGATTTATACGCATTGTCAAAAGCATCACTATATGACGCCTTGTACGGAGCCCGGGAAGCAGCTATGGGGGAAAAAAAAAACAATCCGAGGCGACGGTTTTGCAATCCGTCCCCTCAGTTTATAAACCGTACTCACGGATTCTTAAACTGTTCCCTCGGTTTAACAATTCGTGCCCACGGATTAATAAACCGTACCCACGAGTTCCAATCCGTGCTCTCAGATTTGTAAACCGTGCCCTCAGTTTTTGTAATCTGTACCCACAAATTCATAAACCGTACCCACGATTTCGCAATCCGTTCCCACGGGTTTGTAAACTGTACTCTCGGATTTGTGGCTCGATCTCTTTTTCGAAGAACACCAGTCCAGGAGGTACCCAGATAGCAAACTGACATTGAATCAACGTGGAAATATGACATCGAAACAACGTTGATCTGACATTGTTTTGCTCATCGAATTAACGTTGAACCAACGTCAGACGCGTCATTCTTTCAAAACTAACGGAAAATCAACTTGAAATCAACGCGTTGTTTCAACGTTATGAAAGCAAACCAATTTTCGATTTTCATTTAGCTTTGAAGAATGCCGCGTCTGACGTTGGTTCAACGTTAATTCGATGAGCAAATCAACGTTGTTTCAATGTCATGAGAGACGTCGTTTCCATGTTGATTCAATGTCAGTTTGCTGTCTGGGTACGTTGTTAACGAATCTTATTGTATATTGTTTTATTGTATATTAAGTGTAATATAGCCCTATATGCAATTGTCTTAACTGCGTCTGGATGCTTCAAGTGATTCTCATTTGTAGAGGGTATGGGGTGGAATAGCCTATACGATTTATTTAAAATGAATCGAATGACTTGCATCAAAATCTTTTGTTTATTTGTAATAATCTTCCCACTTTATTATTATTATTATTATTGTGTAACCTGTATTATGACTGACATTTGACGAATTGCTTTTTACCTTTTTTTTGTGGAAGTTTTGGATTTATGCCTCTTCTAAATATGTTGCCTAAAATGTAATGATTATTATTATTAGTATTATCATTATTATTATTCGAGTTTATAACTAAATGAGTTCACTTAATAATACAGTAACATGTTTGTCATAAAATAAATTATCAATGTTTTATTTTTATGGGCTATAACCTAATAGTTTGGATAAAAAGGCCTATATTCTTTCCATAATTTTTGCTTAAAAATAAAGCATTCATAAATTAATTTATGATAAACATATTACTGTCTTAAGTGATCTAGACTCACTGTCTTAAGTGATAGACTAATTCATAGTTATAAACTAATAATAATAATTATTATTCACTTTAAGCATTTAAGATGCAGTTAAGACAATATTATGTATTCCACTTAATACACAACAAAAAAAAAATGTCTAACCTGTATTATGAATGACATTTGACTAATTACTTGTTACTTTTTTGTAAATAATTTTCGATAAAAGCATCTTCTAAATAGGTAGCCTAAATGTAATAATAATAATTATTATTATTATTATTTGAGTTTATTTTTAATTTTTATATAACCTAACTTTTTACAGTTTTGGAAATGTGTTTGTGTTATATTTCTTTTTTCATATGTGAAGTCTTTTTTGATTATTCTATTATACCCCCCCCCCCCATAAAAAAAGGACTTTAAAAGAAACAAGTAAATTAAACCATCACAATTTAACCAAGTAAATTGTAATACTCCCCAATGACTCTCCCCCTCTCTCTCTCTCTCTCTCTCTCTCTTTTAAGTGTTAAACACAGGATTATTATCAGCATGAAGACACTTAAACAAATCTTAGGTAGAAATGGACTATTTCGCAGAAAAAATTATGACAACTTGTTTGATGTTATTCAGTTTGTTAGAGAAGAGCTCCAAGGCTCAGGAGCATTGCATGGATATAGATGGATGTACAGTAAATGCAAGGAAAGAGAACTTCATGTGCGCAAAGAAGACATCCGCCTCATTCTGTCCACTCTTGACCCATTGGGCACTGAAATGTGAAGAAAAAGAAGACTGCACAGAAGAGCGTACTTTTCAAAAGGCCCCAACTTTATATGGCATGTTGACTCTTATGACAAATTGAAGCCATTTGGCATTTGTATCAATGGAGCAATTGATGGATTTGCAAGGAGAATACTATGGTTGAATGCATACTGCACAAGCAGTGACCCTCAAGTCATTGGGGGTTACTTCCTTGAGACAGTAAGAAGTCTTGGAGGCTGTCCTCGAATCCTGAGAGCAGATATGGGAACAGAGAACAGCACCATTAGGGATATGCAGCGTTATCTGCGACGTAGCGATGATGATCCACTGGCCGGCAGAAAAAAGCTTTATCTATGGAAAAAGTACGGCCAACCAGAGAATTGAGAGCTGGTGGGGTATTCTTAGAAAAGAGTGTGACTTGAATATTTTCACCAAATTAAAGATGAAGGCAAATTTGATGGCAGCTGGTTGGACAAGAACCTTGTTTTATTCTGTTTCCTGGGCTTGATCCAGGTAAATAGTGACTCTCTCTCTCTCTCTCTCTCTCTCTCTCTCTCTCTCTCTCTCTCTCTCTCTCTCTCTCTCTCTCTCTCTCTGTCTCTCTCTCTCTCTTTCACACACACACACACACACACACACACAATATTGATTTAACAAACAATCCTTTAAAACAAGGCTTCCCACTGTTTGTGACTTTTACAGGAAGATCTGGATTCCACCAAAGACACTTGGAACAGCCACCTGATTCGTCCTTCAAGGAACCGCCTTGTACCCCACGGTCGACCAGATGTCATGTACACCCTTCCTGAATTATATGACACAGAAGACTACATAGGTATCTGACGTGAAACCCCTGTAAACACAGGCATCTGATGCGCATGTACAGTTAGGACAGGTATCTGACGTGAAACCCCTGTAAACACAGGCATCTGATGCGCATGTACAGTTAGGACAGGTATCTGACGTGAAACCCCTGTAAACACAGGCATCTGATGCGCATGTACAGTTAGGACAGGTATCTGACGTGAAACCTCTGTAAACACAGGCATCTGATGCGCATGTACAGTTAGGACAGGTATCCGACGTGAAACCCCTGTAAACACAGGCATCTGATGCGCATGTACAGTTAGGACAGGTATCTGACGTGAAACCTCTGTAAACACAGGCATCTGATGCGCATGTACAGTTAGGACAGGTATCTGGCGTGAAACCCCTGTAAACACAGGCATCTGATGCGCATGT